TCTAGTATTTAAACTAATATTGAAGTAGCCATTTGGCTGAACAGCATCCAGAGACAATAGAATACACAAAAATAAGATGAAAATAAAATAAGGTACAATGACGCTGCACTGAGATGTCTGGGCTCAACTCGAACCAAAAGCCAAGGAAAATAGGTGGGTTTTAAGTGTGGACCTGAAAAGCCTCTAAATTACGAACAGATCCGATGTTCTGAGGCAGGCGGTTCCACAGGACCGGGCCTGCAGCCGAAAAGGCCCGATCCCCTTTATTTTCGAGCCTTGTCCTGGGAACGTCCAGAATCATGTGATTAGAGGACCTTAGCGCCCTAACTGGGGTGTGGATACTTAAAAGCATAGATACATAAGAAGGCGTGACATTTAAAGCCTTAAAAACAAGCAACAACATCTTAAAATCAATTCTAAAAGACACAGGAAGCCAGTGGAGAGAGGACAAAACTGGGGTAATGTGCGCATGTGTTTTTAAGGAGCCAAGCAGCCGCATTTTGTACTAACTGTAGTCTCTGAATAGGAGAGTGTCCCAGACCGGCATAAAGGGAGTTACAGTAGTCGCCATTAGGCCTGAACCTGCATCCATTTCTGTTCCTCCATGCATATGTGCATTTTACAGCTTAATGAATTGAACAAAACATGTCAAATGTAACTGCTGGTGAAGATGTGGTATAATTTTCTATTGTATGAAATTGTTACCAGTAATTTTAATCACTAGAAAGTAACCAGTAATACAGCCTTTGAAAATGATTTTTAAATTAATCAGTGGTAGTTAATTAAAAGCACTTTAACAGTTAACTAAAGAGTTGGTTAAATAAAATGAAGATTCAATCAAATGATAGAATAATCAGTGTACATTGTATTAGTCCAAATACATGCAGGGGATTAGTAAGATTCACATTTACAAGCAATGCATTCTGTCACAATTTGCATCAAGCAACACATCTAATTAACCTATTCAAGCCTAATTAATTATGAACTGAACAGGACTGAAGGACGGGTTAATTAGCGCTGCAAGAGACAGGTTTGGAAGATGCCGTTTTAAAGTGCTTTGAAGTAACACTGTTCTAGAACATGAAATTATTCATTTTAACGGAAAACCTTAAATTGGGAGCAGTTCAGGAGACAATTACAAGAGCGAGGTGCTTAAGGATATTCAAATTGATGAGAAACTGTCTAAGTGCTGTCCTGTAGCTTGGAATCCAGAAGAACTGAGGCTCTGAATGATGGTGGAGCAAAATTCAATACAGATTTTGATACAAACAGTTTCCTGTGTCATTCAAGAAAACTACTGTGTGTCAAAATAAAAATGAAGATTTGTTTCAGTGGTACCAGATGAATCCAGAGCTATCCACAGTGAAACACACATTTGACTTGAATCTGCCTTTAAGATCACACTCATCTTACTCAGTCTCTGACAAGCATTATTAGAATATAACAATTTCTGGACTATCTGAAATGTGCTCAAGAGGTAAGATGGAACTAAGATTCAAGGCAGCTAGGTATACAAAATAATTTAAAATTTACACTCTGACCCAGAATTCCAGCATTGAAATGTCAATGGAAGAAATGTGATATGCCACAAAATAATAGCTCCCAATAATATTTCCGAGGAATGCTGTCACAGATACAGAACTCAGAAACAGAAGCATTTCTGTCACAACCACCTTGAGATTTTTGGGAAAGACAGCAAATAATATACAGTATATAACGCATATTCTACATCAACACTTTTTCTACAATCATTAAATGCATACAGAAATGCATATATAGATGTTGATCTGAACACCGATTCTGTCAGCATCTGACCATACTGGCACACAATGGCATTTTGTGTCATCAGTCCACACTAGGAAGCACAAGCTGCATATTTCCTACCTCTCATTTGTCTAGGGCCAGGTAGGAGAGCCATGCAGCCACACTCACATCAGACCTAATCCAAGTATATTTCACAGTAGGAGCCCCCTTAAATATGTGTGTGTTTATATGTGTGTGTGTGTGTGTTTGTGTGTGTGTGTGGGTGGGTGGGGGGGGGGGGGTTTATTTAGAGGCCCCTTGCCTCAACTGACAAATGCACTTTCACCAGCTGAGCTGCTAGAGGAGCCTTTTATCATTTTGGGGAAGTTCAGATATAAATTTCACTTTTAATAATATTGAGTCCTTTAAAGAAGCCAGGCTCAAGTCCTAACTAATGCAGTGAGAACTGGAACCTGCTGTGACAGCTGTACTGAAACCCAAAGAGATGTGTATTTAACACAACAAATTGGTCATGTGACTACATCTGCCCGTCACAGTGGGCTGAACTTCTAAGCTGAAACCCCGTATTGATACGTCTCCCGCAATAGGCCTGTTAGCGCTGAGCTTCCTGTAGGCTGACAACAGCCATACACATCAAAGACAGATGAGGTTTCATATTAACTGCTGAGGGCAGACAAAGTAAGATAAGCTTTTTGGACCTGCCTCTGAATATAATGAAAGGCTAGCAAGTCTTCCTAAGTAATGTGCATGACCAACTGAGATAACCCTTGAAGACAGGCTGATTATTGACCTTAACCTGTACTGTATTTCACGTCTTTCACATATTTTACACATTTTCTCAATACATCTGATACAGACTTCAACATTTCCTTGACATTACTCTTGTTGCAAGTTATACTTTTAAGATGTTCAAAACACATCTGCTGAAGCAGGAACTGGATTCGAGCCAGAAAAGGAAGCCAAGTTACTGGATAATTCCTAGTTACACAAACAAGACTGTATGGACTGTACTTTGCATGGCAGAGTGCAGAGAATCCAGCATGTTATGCTGTCTACATGCCCCTTTGGTTATGAGATGAAAAAGCCCGTCAGATTTCTGCCTTTGATCTAAGCAGCACGCGGTAGCGCTCTGGTCGATCTCTCAGATCTCGCAGGAGACATAGAAATTCCATCCCGCTCTTCATTGGAAACCCAGAAAAAGTCATCAGGATAAAGTCCTTGTATGACCAGTATATTTAGGCAACACTGCGTGTCTATGATCACCGCAAAGGAACTGATTGATGCAACCTTGCTCACTGTTTGAGGAGGTATCTCACCAAGAATGCTTCTGAGTGACTATATGCTGAGAAAATTAAATGGTCTTTCAGTTTCTTTACAGTGCTGGAAGCACAGAGGAGCAGTCAGAAGAGAAGACAACGGCAAACAAAACCCCCGTCCACAAGCCCCGAAGCACTGACAGACGAAGACAACACAGCTCCCTGCACTCAAAAGGTGACAGGGCAGCACGCAGAATGTGACAAGCCCCACTGTAATAGGATGGATCATGTGACATGCCACTGGAGATCAGCTCTGCAGAGATCAGCAGTGAACCTGTAGACCACACAATGCATTGTCCATGAAATTACAGACTGAAGCCCTATGTGTTCTGGGTAATGAGAATTCCCATCCCAGGTATGACTCACCCATTGTTCCACTGAAAAAGAGGATTTCTAGCTGTCATATAGTCATGGTATATGCTATGGGTAAGACGAATATACAGGCAAGGCTCACTGAACACTTAGTTGATGTTCAGACCTACATATTTCTCACTTTTCTGGCAGAGAAATTGTTGCGTATACTGCCAGCCAGCTTACAATGATGTTATAAGACTGCAATTTACTCCTGAATAGCTTCTGAGACATCAGTGTTGTTCCAAACTGCATCTTACTTGATAAAGGTATTTAAAAACCTAAATAATAATAATGATGACACTTTACTGGTTGCTACCCCTTTTCGCCTACCCAATATTATTCTCCATGACACACATGTAGGTGAGAGAGCGGGGAGAGGGGGTTACGGGACTTGCTCAAACATGCGGCTATTCTGCTGAAGCCAGACTCGAACCGGTCACCTTCCAATCACACGCACAGAGACTTTACCCACCCAGCAACACGCTGCACCAATGGTAAGTCCCCTTTAAACATCCTATTATCCAGTCTGACCAACACAGCTGAACGGACTCAAAGCAATTTCGACAGCAGATCTATACTCGTCCTTTTAACAATTCTTTACATTCAGGAATCCATTTAAATAGATGAATGTCCGTCCAGCAAATTATACAGCACTGACTAATGACACAGGAGTGTATTCTGACAGAAGTCTAATCCACATTTCAAATTCAAATTCAAAATACTTTATTTGTCCCCGACGGGCAAATTTGAAGATCTGTAGACAATGACCGCCACAAAGGCTCTCCGTTGACTTCATTTCTGGAGGGGCACCCTGCATACCACAGGTCATATTACAACATCACTGTCTTCAAACATCAAAATGCATCCATTTTTAAAAAGGTGTATATCAAATCAGAATTCGCAGAGAAGACCACTGACAGGACAATAACACTGGCAGGGCTGCCAGCAACCGCTGCTCTTTAGACTGTTTTTGCATTTGACTACAAGATCTACAAAAATGGCCAGTGCATGCAAGCATGTGGTGCTGAGAGACACAATCAAGTTTCCACAAACAGCTTTCTGCTCATACTGTAGTGAAACATTCATGCTTCTACATTCACCCCAGCATTGAAATGCATCACCATGCCAGTACAGCCATAGCACCACATGTTGGAGCCAAAATATTTTTGGGATACTTTTTCCTATGAATTCAGTTTATAATGCTGCTGCGGAAAGAGTCCATTCTTTTCTTCATCCATGATGATAGATTTTTAATGGTTTCAAGTTAACGTATGTGGTCTGTTCACGATCATTATGGTTATGACACATGCTCAATGTTCAATCAGCAAAATAACACCTTAAGAGATGAGAAATCTCACCCTTGTAGAAGAAAATGTTCACCTACTTGTCATAGTTTTTTTAACCTGACCTATGAAGCACACTATCAGTGCTACAATAAATTAAATATACAATAAAAAAAAAAAAATTAGGCTTAGGGGATGTTAACTTTGGTTCATGCACATAGCATAGTTTCTAGGGATCATTCAAGCAGACCTCATCACCTCTCCATGCTCAGAAACATAAGTGGATGGTACTCAGTGTAGCGGCACTTAAAAACTTAAATTCTAAATGCCCTCATGTATCATCTGCAGTGAACTTTCTGGGGCTCATACAATGAGAATAAATATATAATTTCAGCATTCAATAATGGAACTGTTGCAAATATTCCTGGTGATTAATTACTATAGTTATTTTGTGGGCTTTCTGCATCCCAAAATTTGTCATCAAGAACATTCCATGCTGACGATATTTCTTTGGAGACTATAATATGACAACTGTCATACTTGTTTACCTGAATTGGAAAAATTTCATTTCGAGCACTAAATTAACCTCCCAGATAAAAGCAGTAATAAATCATTGGCATGGTTCATAACTCCTGTGGTAGGAAGAAATAAATCACTCCAAGCAAATATAGGTCAGAGACCACTTTTATGGAAGGTAGCAAACCGCAGCATAGATCAAGTGGAGGTGAAATCCATGCCTCTGTCCATTAAAGAGTGAATCACAACAGCTTTCTACAGCCTAAACACCAGCAACCTACCTCTGGGGTCAGTGCATTGTTGTCTGACGTTTGGCTTGATAGCAGCACATGCGTGAAACCCTCTTCTTTCCTGACCACGATGTCCCGGAACCGGCAGTTGCTCTCATTCTGTCGGATGTTATATCTCAGCCTCTTGTCGAACACGTAGCCCTTCTCTTCCACCAGCTTCCGTTTCACAGAACTGTGCAAGTTCATTCCACCGTTAGAAAGTGTAGACGCTGTGTGGAGACAAAATAAAGGAAGGAAGTGAGGTGTGAGGCTCACCCTGGGGCCTTTCTGCGGGCACACAAATGGCCTGAGATGCTCTGAGATGGCTTGTATCCTAGCCAGGCACATACCACTGAGGGATCCTTTGCCAAGTGCTGATTAACTCATAAACAAGCATTCTGCATCCTGACTAATGGAAGACTACGAAAAGGCCTTCAAAGGTTTATTATTCAATTTCACTTCAATTGAATTTTATTTGTATAGCATACTTTACATTGTCTCAGAGTGCTTTACATTATCCTGCCCAAAGCCCCCAGTGAGTGACCCAGAGGTGACAGTGGCAAGGAAAAACTCCCTAGTCCAAGTTTTAAGGTTTGTTTTGGAGGAGGTCTTAACATTGGAAAATAAAATAAAAAACAGATACAACTATACAAAGCATTCCATTGATTTACAAACTGATTAGATAAGTGCCTACAGAAGACTTCAAGCCATAGGTACAGATCTTCTTTAGCAACAACGTGGCGCTGATTAGCTCTGTACAGCATCCTCTCCATCGCTGGCATTGAGCCGATCAAAGGCCAGCAAGCCTCCAGTTTAGGTGTCACCCCTCCCCCAAAACGTTTTCAAGGACCATTTACAAGGAATAGCAGGAGTGCGTCAAACTCTCACACTGAAGTGTAATGCGTACTGTTGTTTTGTGTATGCTGTACTGTGACTCAGCACAGAGTGAACACAAGGCAATGTAATCCTACCTCTGTTTATTGCAAACTAAATGATGAGTCTGCTTCTTAATCAGGGCTACCTGTCACTACCAATGTGTACAGATACTGTGATGCTGATTTAAGGCTGAATTTTTGCTGTGCTGAAAATGGAACGATGGGAGTAGTCATTATCCTGATTTTTAAAGCATATTTCCAAAAACTGAAAATCCATTCCCTTCGATACCTCCATACTCCCTACCACTGACAAACCCTGGACTCACATACCTTCTGCACTGAACTCACACTAATGCAGCACAATAACTCCAACATGTCATATTCAGTAAAACAGTAAAACAATTAATAATACATTGGACGAAACTGTGGAAAGCATGACATCTAATCTACATGACATCTAATCTTTGAGATTTTCTCTGTAAAATGTAAAGTGCATTATAAATTAAATTTATTATTATTATTATTATTATTACATACAAAATAAATCTCTGGGAAAAAACATTCAGCAGCCCAATATCAAACCCCTTACATTACACATGAAAAGCAAGATGTTATAACAGGCAGCTTTCAAAAACAAATATTTAATATGGGCTTATTCATTTTTGAAAATACTCCTTGTGCACATAAATAATATATACCCCTAGATGGTCTATCCAAAGGTTTTGTCACCAAAAACCTCCTACTAACCAAAATCATACCAAATATTAAGGAAAGTCATTAATGAATTTCCTCCTCAAAGCAAACTGCCCATGTTGAATTACTGAGTAAAACCAACAGAAAGCCATTGAATAATTATCCCTAAACCAATATGCAATGAATGCAGCCAATATCAAGCTGTGTAAGATAACAATGGGTTTGCAAAGAATTAAAAAAATTAATTCAATGGCGTTGGACATGGTGGAGAGACGTTAAGAGGATGCAAATACAGCAAGACAGGGCCGTGCCCGGGAATTATTCACTCAATTCCCTATTAAATCTGACCCCACAGCTCACACACGAGCCGTCTGCTAAAGAGAGCATCCGTTATTAGAGTGGACCCTCCAAAAGGTCTGAGTTCAGGGAGATAAGAAACCTCAAAATCTAAATGTTTAGCTTAACAGAGCAGCACAGTGGGTAGTGATGTTACCTCAGACCTCCGCTTTGCATGTGCTTTGTGCGTGTTTGTGTTTGTGTATGTGTGTGTGTACGTTTCTGTGTGCGGGTGGGGTTTGTTCTCCCAGTGCCATACAAGTTTGCGTCAAGCACCCTGGTTTCCTCCTGAAGTGCAGAACACAGTAACTTGACTGCTGTCCTGCGGAGTGGCGTAACCTGACTGCTGTCCTGCGGAGTGGCGTAACCTGACTGCTGTCCTGCGGAGTGGCGTAACCTGACTGCTGTCCTGCGGAGTGGC